GAAAAGCGAGAAAGCCCTAGATCTGCTGAGGCACTTATTGGACAGCCTGTCTTCCAGAGCTGACATGGGAATGTATTTAAGCAGACATTCTCAGTGAATTCACACAGCCCCAGTGCCCCATGCTGTCCACCCCAGAAAATTTTTAACTTCATGTAACACGCAATTCCCACCTGGCTTGGCTCTTCCTCCAGTATTGGGTCAATTCCTGTGATTTTTAAACTGGGCAAGGACAGCATCCTCTGCTTGTTTCTCTGCACCTTACTGCCAGCTTCTGGTCTGAGCAGTTAAGGCATGATCCCAAGACTTACTTTACTGCCCTGTCTGTTTTTTAATTTTTCAAAAATTTTGCCTCAGTTACAAGTTTTTTATTTTGCTTTTGCGTCCACTTAACTTCTATGCCCAGGGTTACCAGATTATTATCAGATATGCTAATGTCAAGAGGGTCTACAAATTAAATATACTCAAATGAAACATTTAAAAATAAAATTATGAAAATGCACCTAAATAAGAAAAATAACTTAAACCATTCAAACATAGCATAAAGAGACAAACACTTTGGCCTAAGGTCTTACAGAATATATAAAGTATTCGAGACTGAAATATCTAAAAAGGATTGTGCTTGCTATCTAAGGGGCAGAGCCACCATTTATAGTAACCAGGAGAACAGTCTAAACAAAGCACTAAAAGTTTTCAATATTTTGAACTATAATTTCAGAAATCTGTGCATGAAATGACATCAGGTCAATTAGAGCAATCGTATTACTTTCCCACCAGATTTTTGAACTGTACAAACATCCTTTTTTGGGAGGGGGGACTGATCTCCTGGCAAGTAAGCATTATTCAGTTCTTAAAAGAAACACACCACTGATGTAGAATAAAAATAAAATCTATGGCAACTTTGCAAGAGTCAGTAGAGAGCAGTATCCATTGAAGCAACGTCTAAAAGTAGAGCAACATGAAAACAAACCTTAAGAAGTAAATTATTAAGACTAATTACTCTACAAAGGTAGCAGTGGAATAGTTACCTGTGTGCTGTACAAGAGACGGGTCAAGTTCTGGATTGTTTGTACAGTCTAGAAAATAAAAGGGAAGGATTTTCAAAGGCTTGACCACTGTTAACTAAATAGTTACTATATTCTGTCTGAGATTTAAATAGACTTACCTCTGTCCCTGTAGATCCTGGGAAATTCATACTTTCTCCCTAAAACAAACACAGGGTGCTTTAAAAAACCATTTTTAATTTTCAAATTGTATCATTTAGGTGGGGTTTTTCTAAACTAGTGGAGGTATTCATATCACTAAGAAATGCAGTGCTAAGTCAAACTTTTATGTGGGTATGTGAAAAAAGACAGAAGCAGTAGCCTATGAAGACTAATAATTCATCAACACTAGAGTTTCTGTGGAAATCACTAGAGATTCTAAGCACAGCTGTAAAAACAAGAATATTTCATCCACATTTTTAATCCTCTTGTGACTAATGCTACACAAAAGACATTCCCATTCTTTCTTTGTTTACTTGACGGTTTTGAAATACAATAACCAGAGTTCTGTATATACACCATAGTGGGTTTAGATTACTTGCAGCAGGATGAAACAGCATAAGACTCTTCAAAAATAGAGATATTAATGCAGTAAGATGCTAGCACAAGTCATGTTAGTGGGTTATGGCAAATGCCTTAGATGTGCTGTGAGACACTGCCTGCTACACCCTGAAAAATGCACCAGCATGTACTACTAGCATTAGCATACTACTAGTAGGGTACTGGTGTGCACTACTGTCCTCTGCAGTGACGCACAGCCACTTCACACTTTCCATCCTGCTCCCTTTAGCTTTAGAAGCTTTCTAAATTCATGGGGTGAAGCCACCCATAATCCCTTCAGCATGAAGAACAGCTCCTCTGAGAAAGATGAAGTGAAACAGAGGGGACCATTTCAAACACAATTCCTTCTGAGGCTATGCTGAAAATACTTCCTGTATGATTTTTTTCTTTCTTAATTTTTTTTCAGAGGAGCAGAGGAGGGCTTACAGAGTACTTGTGTTCTCTCTAATTCTCCCGAGTTCTCTACTGAGTCTCATTTTCCACCACATAAAGCAAAGCATCTGCTACATTTAGCTGCAATTTCTGAAAATGAAGATGAAAAAAGCCAGGCCCCCAAACACAGCTCAATGCAGACAACCTAGGGGAAAAGGGAGCACCAGCTGCAGCATTTCCTCCACTCCTCTCTCTCTTTCTCTCCTTATCTCCTTTGGTATTTCCCTCCATTCCTCCTCAACATCTTCACCACCTTCTCCTCCTCACTGCATCCACGAGCCATGTAACTGCTCAGTTCTGCAGTGAGAAGCAGAGGATTTTGCATGGATGACTCTGTGCAGCACATGGACCGACACAAGGGAGCTCTGCTTTCCATTTGAGGGTGAGCAGCTGGCAAGGAGGCAGAGTGGGGCCAAGAGGTAGAGAAAGAAGGTGATGCTCGAAGGGTGAGGAAGAGACAGCACACACACTGAACAAAAGTGGGATTTCTTTCATGTTTTGAAGCTGTTTTTAATTTCAAAAAAAAAGACGTGTACAGGGGGAAAGGCTTAGCTGGCTTTGCCTTGGCCAAGGGGTTGCAAGTGGATGGTCCCAGCACCCATGGTCCCCTCACTGCAGCTCACCCTGAGCACTGGGGGATGAGGTTGAGGTAGATTTAGCTGAGCTGGTGGGTGACAGCAGCATTGCTACTGCACTGCTACAGCTTCAACACATGCCCTGTAATTCCAGCTAGGAGCAAAGCAGTAATTTCTGGTGTTTAGCTGCGCTGAGGACCACCACCACCTCCCTGTCACTGCTCCCTAACACCCTGATTCAGAGAGATGAGGATGGTCACATCTCAGGGTAGGCTGCACTGTACATTGGACAGCCTCCTCAGAGATGCAATTGCAAGGCAGGAGCAGGAGTGACAAGACGGGGACCACCTCTTGTTGTCCAGAACTGGCTGCTCATCTTGCAGACAGCAGAGGCAACACTCTCCTTTCTGGTGCCTGGTCAGCACCTAAGCCCCGAGCTGAGAGCTCTCACTCCAGCTGTCAGACCTTTGTTTTCCTAGGCTAACTGTGTTGAGTCCAGAGCTAGCACGCCACAACTACAAGCCCCGGCGACCGCTGTCTAGCAGGAGAGCATCCACCGCCCTGGAAATCCCTTGCGTTGCCTCTTTTCTTTGCTCACTCTGCCACCTTCTGTTAAGTCTGATTCTGACATGGTAAGATGCGATAACGAGCCTTGCCCCAAAAATAGCCCATAAATAACAGGATAATGACTTAGGGTGGAAGAGTTGAGTGCAGGTCTCTCCAGGTCTAAGCAGGGCTAGCTTCAAAGTTAGAGGAGATGCCCTAAGGCTTTCTCCAGTCAAATCCGGGATATCCCCAGGAATAGAGACACCCACAACCTCTCTGGACAACCTGTTCCTGCCTGCTCATCCTTGCATTGAATTTATTTCCTTAAGTACAGTCAAAAATTCCATTGCTGCAACTTGTAAGCTTGAATGCTCATCCTTTTGCTGTGCACTCTGAGAAAAGCCTGGCCCTACCTTTTTTATAATCCCAATGGCAAAGTCTTCATGTGGAGCTGTTGGAGTTTTAGTGGGCTAGATCTGAGCCTATCATCCTCTATTAGATTGTTTTATTTCCCTTCACCTAGCTTCTCTGCTCCCTCACTCGGACTTTTGTTTTCACCCCATTTTTTCCACTCACATTCTTCTTCCTATTGCCTTCTAACACAGCAGTCTTGTAAGTAAGGTGATCTACAGCTGAATACAAGCAAGGTCATAGGGAGATTAGTGTATTAGCAAGAGTCTTCCAGATATAGAAAGCAAAACCCTCCAGGGTTTCAGGCACATAAGCCCTCTTTCAGATCTGATGCAATGACAGTACGCTAATGCTAAGTAACTCATTTTCTAGCAAACTTTTCATTCCATTTCAAGTTATGTCTCTTCTATTCTTGTCTATCCCATTTACTCCTTTTGTGGTACTTCTTCTCCACCTAAGAACTACACAAATACAGTTCACTTTCTTCCCACACAGTAATTCATACTGCTTACTTCAACACTCTGTTGCTTCACGAAATTTGTCATTTCTAATTTAGTCCAGAACTGACTTTTGATTCTGCTCCTTCCATTTCAAGTTATGTCTCTTCTATTCTTGTCTATCCCATTTACTCCTTTTGTGGTACTTCTTCTCCACCTAAGAACTACACAAATACAGTTCACTTTCTTCCCACACAGTAATTCATACTGCTTACTTCAACACTCTGTTGCTTCACGAAATTTGTCATTTCTAATTTAGTCCAGAACTGACTTTTGATTCTGCTCCGCTAGGGCAGTTTCTCTTCTATTCTCCAATTTTCCATTTTGTTTTAATGCAGAATTCTGAAGCAAACCAGTATAAAACAATCCATGCTATTTTATGTGCTTGTTCTCAGGACAAAGTTTTTCCAAAGCATGTCTTCCTTGCATTGGCTGAGGTCTCTGTCCTTGCATGAGACTTTCATCATCCTGTGAATAGGAGGAGTGAGTAGAGGGAATACCTCTATTAAACTGAATTATCTGGACCTGAGTGAAATGTGCCTGTCCCATGCTTTCTGCTTTGGAACAGTCTTTAAAATTTGGACAGCATGTACGTTCCCAGTACCCAGAGTGCTATGTGCAATGCAGGAAGAAAAATCAGTTATAATACCTTATTCTCAAGATTGGCACCTGCTATTTCCTTTGCAGCACTGGAATTGATTTCTGATGATTCTTCATCTTCTTTCATTTCTGCATCTAGAAAATAAAGACCAAATAAAATCCAATAGAAAGATATCAAAGCATATTCTGACTAGAAAAAAAAAAAGGGCTGCTTTTTTAACAGCTACTTACAGGATGCTGAAATAGAGATTTGCGTAATTTGTTGTTGCATAATGGATTCTAGGCTGAGGAAAAGAAAATTTGGAAGCCATGATGGCACATGTGACACAATCCAGTTTTCCTGCCTTAAAAATTGGCACAGAATCACAGAATGGATCAGGTTGGAGAGAACCACAGTGGGTCATCTGGTCCAAGCTCCCTGCTCAAGCAGGGTCATCCTAGAGCACAGAGCATAGGATTGCACCAAGACAGTTCTTGATATCTCCAGTGGGGGAAATTCCATGACCTCTAGGCAGTCTGTTCCAGTACATGGTCACTTGCACAGTAAAGACTTTATTCCTCCTATTGAACTAGAACTTCCTGTGTATCAGTTTCTGCCTATTACCTCTTGTTTTATTGCTTTATACCCCTGAGAAGAGTGTGGCTTCATCTTCTGGGCACCTGACCTTCAGACACTTGAATACATTAATGAGGTCCCCTCTCAGTTGTGTCTTCTCAAGGCTGAGCAGGCCCAACTCCCTCAGCCTTTCCTTGTAACAGAGATGCTCCAGTCCCTTAAGCATCTTTGTTGCCCTTCACTGGACACTTATTTCACTTAGGAAGGTTTGGAGGTAAGTATAGGCATACCACTAAAAATACTCTGCAACAATGTTTTTACAAGAAATTCATGCTACCTTTTACAGCTGAAATTACTGGAATGTCCATCCTGGTTTTCAGGCCTCCTGACAAAAAGTAGCTAACTTGGCAAATGGCCTATATTGCAATGGAGATTTACTGTGGATCTGAGCAACAATGATAAGAAAGTGTACCTACAATGAAATTATATGACAATTTACACAGTCTGAGCATTTGCCCAAGACAACTTGCATTACGTTATTTTCTATCGATTCTGCCATAGACTGAGAAACCTTTCCAAAAAACCATTCCAGTATCAATTATTTTAGCACTCTGAGTATGTAAATGCATCAAATTTTACTCACCACCCAGATCCGATTCCAAGATTTCATTGGCAGTAAATCTATGCTTCACACTTAATTCCTCAGTGTTTTCCTCTGGTGATCTGTCAGTTTCACTCACTTGTGATGTTCTTATAGCAACACTGAGATTTTCAACTAAAGAGGAAAACATGCAGAATTACAGAAGCCCCTTAAACAGTTCCTTAATGCATAAATCAGTAACATAGAACCATAGAATAATTTAGCTTGTAAGGGGCTTTCAGAGGTCATCTAGTCCAAGACCTTACTCAAAGCTGGTCAAACTAAATTGCATTGCTCAGAGCTTTGCACACACAAGCCTTTAACATCTCCAAAGATGGAGACTTCACAGTCTCCCTGAATAGCTTGTTCCAGTTTTTTAACATCCTCGTGGTATATAATTTCAAGATAACTGGAATTGCCCATGTCCCAGCTTGCCACTGTTGCCTCTCATCCACGTGTTTTTCTTTTTATCATCACACACCTCTGCCAAAAAACTGACTTCTCTGTATCCTCCTATTAAGCAGCTGTGGACAGACAAGAGATCCCAACAACTACCTCAGCTTCTCCTAAGACATCATGTTCTCCAGCCTCCTAGTCATTCTGGTGCCTTTCAATGGATTTGCTCCAGTTTGTCAACATCTCACTTGTTCAGAGAAGCCCAGAACTGGTCATGGCACTCCAGATGGGACTCACCAGCACTAAGCAGGGGAAGAATCACTTCTACCAACCTGCTGGCAACTCTCCTCCTACTGCAGCAGCCTGGGAAGCAATTAGCCTTCTTTGCCACAAGGGCACACTGCTGTCTCATGGTCAACTTGCTGTCGAGTAGGTCTCCCAGGTCCATTTCTGCAAAGCTATTTTCTATCTAGTCAGTGTCCAGCCTGTTCCAACACACGAAATTATTCCACCCAAGATGTAGGACTTTGCAGTTGTCTTTGTCAAACATCTATACATTCCTCTTAGTCCATTTTGCCAATCTGTAGACATCTCTCCATCACGCTGAACATCCCACCTCATTCAATGACAGTCATGAATTCACTAAGAGCGTACTTAATCCCATGGCTAACTGCATTAATACATATCTTGAACTGTATTGATCTCAAGATCCATCCCTAAGGGATTCCTAATAACATGTTACCAGCTGGACTGATCACAACCCCTTGAAACCCAAGCAATCCAGCCTCATTTTCACCCAGTTATGCAGTTCACATCAATTCAGCTGTAAGGATACTACAGCCAGTGCAGACAGTGTTGAAGGTCCCAGAGATGTCAAAGTAACCAACATGCACTGTTCTCACATCATAAAGCCCATCAGCTTGGTCAGACACTACTTGCCCTAGATTAATCTGTGCTGGCAGTTCTCAATCACATTCTTGTCTTTCATGTTTTTGAAATGCCTTCCAGGAGGATCTGCTCTATTACCATCTCAGAGATGCTGGCAAGGCTGACTATTTTGTAGCTCCCTATATATTTGTTCTTGAAGAGGAGAGTGAAGTTTGCCTTCTTCAAGTCATCGGGAACCTCTCCTGATCACTGTGACCTTTCAAAGCTGACAGAAAACAGCCTTACAATGATACTGGCAAGCTCTCTGAGCAGTCTTGGATTTACCCCACCTCTTCTCATGGATTTGTGTATATCTGATTTGCTTAAGCACTCTGTAATTCTATCCTGCTCTACCACGAGCAATGCTTTATTCCTGTAGAGTCTGCTGTTACCCCAGGGACCCAGTATTTCTGTCCTGGAAAATGATTCCCACAAGTTATCTACAGTGTAAACAACTGTAAGCTCCTACAGAGTGCTGTAGAGACCTGAAATCCAAGACATCATCAAAACAACAGCAGCATGAGAGAAAGTGAAAAATAAAAAAGTGGGCAGAATAAGGTGTGTAAGTATAGGCTGCCATTTTAACTATTTACTGTTGCATCCCTGACTTAAATTCCCTACAAAAGCTTAATCAATTTTTTCAATAAAATGCTCTGTGACTTTATAGTGATAATGGAGACTAAGCCTCACTGCTTTATTGGTTGAAATGTTGGAAGTAGCACATGGCTCCACAGAGCAGTACTGCAAGGAGGACAACTAACAACTAATGTCATATCCCTGTCTCCTTACATTTGATGTTATGCACTAAACATATCCCTTGTTTTACAATCTGGCAGGTACCATCTCCTGTATCTGACAGGAATAAATGTGAGAGATTTCTCTTCAATATCCTTTGACAAGTTTTGACACTGCCAGCCCTTGAGCCTTGACAGAATTGCTGCACAAGGCGACATGGCTGTACTTTGTGACTTAAATTATCTGCTCACAGGAAGAGCCACTGATCCATTCTTCTTATGCAAACTCACCTTCTCTGAGTGCTGCTGCCAGCAATGAAGCAACCTGTGGAGTTTCTGCAGAATCAGGTTTGATAAGGAGGTGAGGCTCTACACGAACATCACCAAACCCACACATGTCTGCCAGTTCTGCATAGATACGCAACTTCTCTTCCAAAAAATTGCAGATCTGCTGGTCCTGTTTTTTCAGTGATTCTGTCAGCCAAAATTGAACACTGTATTAATTAATATTTTTTATTCTGCAGGGAAAGCACATTCCCCATTCACCTTTCTAATCCTTATGCCACAGTGCTAATTCAAGCTAAGCCTTTTTAAAGTGGACAGGAATTCAAATTCATCCCATAGTTTGTCCTAATGAAAGCTGGCACAGACCCTGGCAGAAGTCCAGGCCAAAGCCTTACCCTGATGATGTAGCCTTGGCTACCCTCTCAGGCCCTCAATTACCTCTTATTGCACACACAAGGACAAATGAGTGCTACCTCCTGGAAAGGCACTTGGCTTACGTGTGCTGATTCAGAGCCCCAACATCAAAGAACACCTACTCTCAGCAGAGGATGCACTTCTCTGTGGCTCTCTACAGGGCAGTCATTGCTGGAATTTCTCTCCTTGCAGCAGGATACAGATTTAGGAGTTAGGTGTAGGGTCATCAAGGAAGCAGAATTTATCTATACTTTCAGATAAAAATAATAGCAGCAAAGGACAAAGTGCCATAAACAAGCACAAAGCCACACAATTTTGAAGATTTGAGGTATTTCCACAAACACAGAACTACCTAGTCTTGATGCTAATCTGGGAAATTCATATGTTTATTTTGAAAGCATCCACTTTTCTGTTTCAGTCATGGTAATGTAGCAAATGCATTAAAATGTTTGGGAAAAAAAAAAGCCTTTATTTCAATACACCCACATTATACCACCAGACCAATCCACCTGTGTCTGCTGTGACTGCCTGGTGAGCCACTCTGAACCCAAGAGCCAGTATAGGCACATAATTCATTCATCCTAAACTCTGAGTATGCTGGAGCTCTCAGGCTGGCAGGAAAGACACTACACCTTGATATTTCTGAATTCTGTATCCTTTGGCCTCAGCAATACGTCTGTCCTCATCAGATTCAATCTTCTTTATTTCTTCCTCTGGACAACTTCAAAAATGAAAGACAAAAGTGGATTAAGCAAAATACATGCACCATCTACGCATCTTCAATACTATCTTATATCAATAATAAACAGAGCACAACATCAGCACCAGTTTTTGCAACAATCCAGAAGCATGCCATTTGTCTGTCTCTTTAAGAAGTGGACATTAAACAGACTGAAGGGCTCATTTAATTCTGGTAAGGCTATATTGTGCAGCAAATGGACACCTGCAGGACTCTGTCAAAGGCAACAGTGAGGGAAGCTTACAGTGGCTGGTAAGGACATCTAATGTGGAGCAGAAAGGCTCTGCTGATTCATTGTGAAAATATGGTAATATGGGAAGTTTGGCAGAAGTGGTGAGGTTTTGGCATCTGTGAAACTTGAGCTCAGAGGAAAACCCAAGCTCACAGATGGATCCAGTGCAATGCAGAAAAAAGACAATGCTGCCATGAATATCCAGCTGATTGCCCATGTGATTTGGACTGCCAGGATGAAAACTAAAACCTTTTCCATACCGTTCCACAGCATCTTGAATATGCCTCATCCAATTGTTACGTTCTTTCTTGGAGCTGGCATGAATCTCATACATCTCAGGCCCTGAAGATGAAGCACTAATCAGAAACATCCCCCTTTCCTCATTGGCTACTTCTCTTACTATCAGCCTCTGAAGGGAGATAACTGATGGCTTCTGGTCCTGGGGAAGACAGTCACAGCACATGCATAATGAATGACTTTCTCATAAAACACCACAATTTTAGAAGAACATGATTTTTCAATTCATTGGAGCAATTGTAGTCCTGGTACAGTTAGGCTATGTGTGTTCTTACAAGGTATAAGAGGTTGAAAGTTCTGATTAATCAGATGTACTTTGAAACTATTTTTTAAAATACATTATACTGTTAATGAACAAATAAAGCATTGTCTGTGCTAAAAAGCAAGTCTCAGAGGCTCAATGATGCTGAGGTACAATATTCATGTAATGTTTATATTTATATAGTTCGGAAACACCTCAGCGTGACCTTTCCTACCTTTTATGTGTGTTTACTTCTACATTTGCAGTTAAAACTATTCCTCTGTTTTACAGAACCAGAAATTAAAATTTATTTCAGGTAACTGAAAAGAATCTGGTTTACTTCCCACTTTCACAGTCAGATGAGGCATAACAGTAAAAAAATCCTTCTTCATAAAAAATTATGTAATTTTGGAAATTACTTTACTGAATACACTACCAGGACTTTAGGGAAAAAACCATATTGGAGTAACATAGATAAGGACCAAATTTTTGAGAAATATACAAATAAATGCTCAATGTATATATTCAAATATCTGATAATATACTCACAACAGCTGCAAAGACGTATTTTTGATCCTTTTCTTGCAAGAACAGTAGAACATCAGTTAGAAGCAGAGCTAAGGTGTCTTAAAATGAGGAAAGGAAAATAATGTTTTTTAACTATAGATATTACAACTATAGTTAATTTAAACTATAGTTAAATTAAGCTAAAGAGGAAGTATCTGGATTAACCTACGATCTGCATGAAGCACTTGCACACCACCACTTTGTATGTCCCAGGAAATAGCTCCATGCTGGAGCACTGACTCAGGGAAAGAAGAAATCCTCACACCAATGTCAGTAGAGCTTCACCAGGCCACTCACCTGGCAAAGGCTCTCTCACATAAATTTTTCTTTATCTATGCTGTAACATACACCCACAGCACAGAACTACACTGGTAAAAGCATTTCTGGGGTAAATGAACAGACAACCTTATAAAGTTGTACAGCAAACATCAGTAAGCACCAAAAAACCACAACCCCTACATGTGATTAGCACCAAAAATCAAATTCTGGGCTTGCATGTAAAAATTGTGTTCCAGCCAAATGTGGCTTCAGAATTTTTTTCTACTGCGGATGTCCCACTACCACTTAAGTACAGCACATAATTTTTCTTGAGTTATTATCAGTGGCCAGTACGGTGAACAATATCAATGTACAAGACTATGTTACGGGATGAAACTGAAAAGCCAGAAACTAAAAGGAAGGAACTGGAAGAAGAATGCAGTAGATGGCTTTCTGTGTGAACTTGTCTACTTACACAGATATACAGTGGATTACCCACAAACCACGGCAGCTTCTGGAACTACTCTTCTACCAATTAGTGGCACATTTACTATACCATTACTTCAGAAAGGTATTACCTAAGAAATTCTGATTTGCAGTACAGTGTAATAAAGTATTTTCATTCTTAAACCAAAGAGTCTTCAAATGTTATTTGCAAATAAAGAGTTAGAGGATTTTACTGCTTGGATGAAATACCTTTGAAACGACCTGTAGCTGTCTTCCAGTACACTAAACCTTCGTGAAGAAGTGTTCTCTCTTTCCTGATCAAGTCTTCCTTCCTAAAAACTTGGCCATTTTTCAGCTTTGTATATGTTCTGTTTTCAGTTCTCCAGAGAATTTCAAACAGCTTTTGCTTTTTCTCATATTCATTCACTGTCACATCTACTGCTGCAATCACATCCTTAATTAGGCAAAGGGCTTTTGACAAGTCATTATGTTCTTCTGTTCCTTCTGTATGAAACAAGAAATAAACACCATGACACTAGTCAGCATGTTCAAGAGAAGATATAATTCCTAGCTTTCTGGGAACAATCAACATGATGCAAAGCTTAAATTGATAAATATGGTACTTTCAGTTGAATCTGGCCATCAACTTACTAGAAATATTAGAGGTATATACCTTTGTTCGACTTGCCTATTAAAAGATGACATGTACCTCAGATTTATTCATTAGCCAGAACAACACATTGAATAGTTTATGACATATTTATGAGGTGTAAGCACTTCTAAAAGTGTAGTGGCTAAGTAAATCACTTAATATATTACTCTCCTGGCTAAGCAAAAAGTATCCTTAAAACAGGACTGCAAGTACAAAGGCTTTGCATTTGGGCATGCAGCTTTCTACAGTGCTCATTTACTGCCCATGTGGAGGACAATATCTGTAATTTATTAGCATTTGTGAAATGTTCTACAAAATTCCTGAGGTCATTCAAGTTTTATCTGAAAAACCAGGGAATACAATGTTACAAAATATTTGCCTTGCCCTCCTTGCAGGAGCAGGTCCTATTTAACATCTTTATTGATGGTCTGAATATCGGGAGTGCACCCTCAGGAAATTTGCAGACAACACTAAGTGGCTGGCAGTGTTGATCTACTCAAGGGTAGGAATGCTCTGCAGAGAGACCTGGACAGACCCAATCAATGGGCTAAGGACAACTGTATGAGGTTCGATAACGTGAAGTGCTGGGTCCAGCACTTGGGTCATAGCAATTTCATGCAGTGCTACAGGCTGAAGAAGAGCTGTTCAGCAGAAAGGGACTTGAAGGTTTTGGTTGACAGCCTGCTCTGTATGAGCCAACAGTGTGCACAGGTGGCCAAGAAGGCCAATGTCATCTTGGCCTGTATCAAGAAGACTATGGCAACAGGACTAGAAAAGTGATCATCCCTCTGTACCTGGCACTGGTGAAGCCACACCTCAAGTACCGTGTTCAGTTTCGGGCCCCTCATTTTAAAAAGGACACTGAGGTGCTAAAGTGAGTTCAGAGAATGGCAACAACACACATGAAAGCTCTAGAAAACATGTCTTATGAGGAACAGCAGAGGGAGTTGGATGTGTTTAGTCTAGAGAAGAGAAGGTTGAGGGGAGACCTCACTGCTCTCTACAACTACCTGAAAGGAGGTTGTAGAGAGGTGGGGTCCGGTCTCTTCTGCCATGCTTGCAAGAGGACTAGAGGACAGCCTTAAGCTGAGATGGGAGAGATTCAGAATAGATACTAGAAAACTTTTCTCACTGTTAGGTTGGTCAGGTATTGAAATTGGTTGCCCAGGAAGATGGTAGAATCATCATCCCTGGAGGTATTTAAAAGGTGACTGGATCTGGCACTGGGTGATATGGTTTAGTGGTTTAGGGGCTGCAGTGGTAGTGCTGGTGGATGGGTGGATTTGAAGATCTTAAAGGGCTCTCCCAACCTTGATGATTCCATAGAAGAAACTCCTCCAGAATTACTTCCCAAGAAGGTGCAGATGTGTGTCTGAACTAGTTCACATCCTCTAGTCAAGGTCTTTTCCTAAAACAAGTATGGTATTCTGGACTTCTATGGCTTACCTGCCTGAAGTATCAGAAATCTTCACAGCCGAGCCTTGACAAAACCTACCTACACCAGACACCCTGTTTATGTGACATGTTCCTGAACAGTAGATACTTGCTCAGGTACTCTACAGAGGAATGAATTCATCTTTTCTTATACTGTAGCTGTGCAAATTCCTTATATTAGAAATGCACTAGGATTCCAGACACAAAGCAACACTTCAGATTTTATTCACCTTTTGAGTATTGCAATATCCTTTCAACCAGAACAGGGTATTTGGTGATCCGCTGGGTGACGAGCAAAATGCACTCAGGGATTTCTCGGCGTCGTGTCAACAGGTTACTATTTCTCAGCTGCACAGATACAAATATATGCCTTAAGTAGTAAATGCATATTAAACCACCAATTGACCAATAAGAAATATGATCTAAAAGCATTAGAATAAGTTAAAGCAAATACTAGGTTATCTGAACCGTCCCCAAGGAACAGTTGCTGTGCTGAGGGATGAGGTGTACTATAACAGCAACATGTGTGTAATAGACACTGGATGCCAAAGCACTCTAAAATTTGAAAAATGTGATTTATTAGCTTGCTAGTTAAGGAGGAAAAACCCTTACCATTTTTATTAGCTATTAAAAGTGAGTTACTGAATATAATTCCAATCCTAAATCTAAGTAAAAGCTACATATCTTTCTCCTGAGCACTTTGTCAGAGCACTTTGTCAATAGCGATCATGCTTCCCTGTTAACTTACTTTAATAAAATTTTGGAACTTCTTATTTTGTTGCAAATATTTGAAGAGACTAAGAGCTTCTTTGTGATGGCTGCAGAACGTTCCATATATTTTCTTCATTTTAGTTGCATTTAGATCTGAAAACTGAAGAAATAAACAAGTGAATTGTGCACAACATTGCACCTGACAGGAAAGTGTATACTTTTAATTACTATTTGTACTTTGTACAAATAGGGAAATTTTATGCTACCTGTTTCTCAAGATCTCTGAATTTCAATAACAGAGCCTGTCACTTCAGACTGAAAATGGGCTAGCTGTTTTTAGAAGCAAGAAGAGGAATGTGGGCTGGAGAGAGTGTAAGCCAAGGACAGCTAGAACAGTTATTTTAATAGCATTTCCTTCACCTCTTTGCAGACACAACCCCTTTGAGAGTTGTTTGGGTTTGTCTGATCTCCACACCACTTTTAGACAAGATAACAGCTCAGCTCTTTGTTTCGGTGGAGTGAAAACTGACTGACTGAAGATTAAAGGCCATATCCTCCCAATTGCAAGGAACCGAAGTGTGAATGGCAAGACATTGGTTAGCCATTCTTGGGCCACAATAAACATGTTGCAAACACCTCTTCTCTAGTGAGCAGTATTTTGAGATGCACCGTGCCAGACCACTACAAGAAATGAGTAGGTAATTTCTTTTCCACCATCAGTCAGCTCTTCACACCTCTGCCAAGCTCCAACATTTGCAGTCCATGGTAGGACTACAGCCTTCTACTGCAAACAGGATGAAGTTCATCACTTTCCTTGTTACTCTAAATAGGTAGAATTTTATTCAAAGTTCCTCACAGTTACCTGATTTTTTTCTCATTCCTATTTCACCCCACAGTAATCTGGAGGGGGACAGTTTTTGAATTTTAAGAGGCAACTATAGCTGTTCTTGACCACAAAAGTTTTAAATTCAAGAAGTTGTTTAAATTTGGAACCTTGAGCACTTATAGGATTAACAGAGTTGACGCCTCTACCTGCTGCACAAGGATGTCTCCAATTCTGCTGATGACAAAATTATGTTCACTCCCTGCCTCACATGATTCCTGCCGTCTCTCCTTCATTCTGCAGAAAAAGTGCTTGTGTGTCTCCAGTAGCTCATCTAAGCAAGGGAATATTCTACCCACTGTGCTGTGGTTGAGTTGCAATTCTTCCTTCATCCCTTTCCTGAATACTTCAGACATAATGAACAGGGTATAGATGTGATGTACTTCTGTTTGCATCAGCTCTGCAGTATGAAAGAAAATAGCATAGTGTAGTAGTATTGAATATTTTGCACATAGTAACATTCAAATGTACAATCGGAATTATTTTTTTGGATGTGATCCTCAAACCTAATAGATTATGTCAGTAGGAAGACTTAATTTATCTGGCTCTGGCACAGTTCTCTCAACTGTCCCACACTGAACAAGCTGGGGTTGCAATTGCTTGAGCTGGGGATTGGATGAGGTCCCTTCCAACCTCAACCACTATTAACAGGCTAAGCATGTCTTTGGTAGTCACTACTATTCATTTCTTTAGTTCTAGGATACATTTGTAACTTGCTATTTGAACTTTCATATTGTTCTGAGTTGAAGCATTCATTCTTCAGGACATAAACCACATTGGTTACCTCTCTATTTTATATGCCAAATTGCTTTTAAAGCTACACAAAGCTTTGAAATACTGACCAAATATGACATCCTGACGCTTGACGACATCCTTTTCTTGCTTGCTACAAAACACTGGATCCACAAAAAGACTCCAAGACTCTGCCTCATACTCTTCTGCATCTGTGCAGAGATCAGTCCACTGAGATAAATCCACAACATCTGTGACAAAATTTGTATTTCTTTAACATCAAGCATAGGAAGAGTAATAGAAGTCCCTTGGCCCATGCAGATCTCTTCATATAGTAAGGGGAACACGTCACAGGGTTGAACTATAGACAAGGCTTCTGCAAACACTGGCACAGGCTTTACAACAGAGAAGTTTGCCAGATGTCAATATCATTACCAAAGTGTTAAATTGTAAATGTGACAGCGAGGGAGGAGAATTTAAAACAACCAAACAAAGTAGTCTTCTTTTCACAGATTAAATCCTTTTTATAACTCTTTGCCTCAACAAACCTTTAAAAATTCAAAAATAAAATCCAACATTTCCGACAACAGATGTCCAGTGCATGGTATCTGCACCTATGTGATTGAATGACCTTCAGCTTTGAAATTCAGTCTCATAACCAGTGTGCTTTTGTTCATGTCATAAGGCTATGTAGCTATTGTAGGAGTGAAGTTCATCAGTATGGGCCAGCCTTTGGGGCTACTGAGTAAATATAAGTGATGTAGGTTTACATTTTGCAATAGACACTGTCAACAGAGTTAACTGGATGACTGCAGAAGTATATTACTGTTCTGTTTCTGCAAGGATGCACAATATATTTATGCCTGTTATTTTAAAATGGTAACAACATGCAAAAATGTTCTAGAAATTAGAAAAGAGTTAGTTACAAGGAGGAAATGAAAAGTTCTACTTTAAGACTCTGATTGTTTCATTTTAATGAGGGAAACACTTGTAATTATCAAAAAATAGGAGCTCTTCTTTTAGGAGACAAATTGGCTAACTGAAGCTGAGGAGTTTTTCAGTTCTGCACTTTCCAATACAGGCTATAAGATGCAACACCTGTGCAATACTTCTCACCTTCCATCATGAAAGCATCCATTGAAGGAAAGGTCTCTCCTGCTTGTAACATCTCTTCAGACAATGATTTGGACTTCAGGGAGATAGGCTCAGAATCTTGTTCAGAAAACTGTGTAGCTCTTCTACACCGGAAAAAAAAAAAACACATTCATTTCATGGGATCAGTTTTCCTAGAAATGATGTATTTAGCATAATCCCTTGGCAGTTGTCCTTTACCTGTCAAAACTGGTGCTGGGGACACTTTTGGACAAGAAGCAGGACTGTTGTGAGGCTTCATTCTTTCCAGAAGACAGTCCAATAGGCAGAGAGGAAGAAGGATGCAGTGAGGAGGGCATCATCTGTGAAATATCTCCAGGCAGGGAACCTGTGAGGCAGCATCAACAGCACACTTATACTGAGAAATGCTATCTGGTTCTCACATTGACCTACACTGGATATCAAGAAATGTCCAGTTGCCAAGGTACACACCCACAGTGCTCTCCTACAGAATATAAAGATCAGCCTGTAGCAAAGTAGAATAGCTCCACCATGAATATTATTTTAGAATAAAATAATCTCAAATCATGCATGCTCTAACATTGCAAGTCAAACATAGGTGCACAAATATTTGTGCGCATGGTGAATGACATACTCAGAACTGACTATTTTTACTTTTGTTCTCACTGAAAATGCAGCAAACCCCACCCATTTCAGTAGAGGATGAGCCAATTCAATAATAATATCTTCAAAAACTTCTGTTCATATTAGAGACACAGAGTGTCTCTTAGAAATATTGAAATGAAAAATAAAAACACACAAATAATGCAGGAAAGTTCATGCTGTCAGACCCATGACTTTTAACCATGGCTAACTTAGAAGTGCTAGTTTTACACCTAACTTACTTGTTACACCAGCTTGGGGCTTCTTTTTACTATGATTGCTCTCCTGGGATTTCTGAAGAAAAAAAAAAGAATTTTTTGAATTTGCAATGAAATCATATCTGATAATACACTTAACTGTCAAAGCAGTAACTCACTTCCATATAACATCACACAAAAGGGCTACATGAAGGTGGTCCTAAGTTGTGCTCTTTATTTCTTCCAATAACTAATATACCCAAGTTTATTAGTTGTTACCGATAACAATATTCAGAGTAGAGTACTATTTGTACTACAATACAAAACTGAACCTGTTTACTCTAACCAGAGTCACTGAGTCAGAACACTCTACCTTCTCTATATGAGTATCACCTATGAAGGCTGAAAGAAAGGTGCACAATCAGGGCTTTATATTCAAACAAAGCATTTGTGGCAGGGCACTATCTAAGGAAGTCTGAGGAAGCCTAGGTACCAGAGGCAGAATCAATCCCCATTCCAAAGAGGACATTTGTAAAGCCTGTAACAAAAGCCTTCTGTGCTGAGGCATGTACTTCACTTTAGGTGAACAATTTTCTACACCCCATTCCTGTTGAGATGAGTCAGGGGTGGTGAGGGCTCTTGTCTCTTGGCAAAAAACTCACCAGCCCCAGTAGTTAATACTGTTGGTTCAGCTGTCCTAGGGCCCTAAAGTTGCCAAGAAATTTGTGCAAGGCTATGACGTGACAATTATAACCAAAATTAAAAATACTTGATTGATGTACAGTTTATGGCTTGTTTATGCTGAAGAATCTCCATGAAATCATGCTCTCCATGCAACCCACCACGATGCAAAACCCAGCTACACCTGAAAGACACACTGCACTAATTCGACAAATGACCTGCACATTTCTCTGCAAGTTTCATTTCATTTATGAGGGCAGAAGCTTTACATATTTATGTCTTTGTCATGATAATCTCACCATGTATGCATTCCTACTCAAAAGTTAGGGCAGTATCCACCAGGTATAGTGCTAATCTTGCCCTGTCTGTAGTGGCAGCTGAACACTGGGAGCAACTGCCTAGGCAGTTTCCTCTTCCTGAAGTTTTCCAGAAGATTTCAAACAACCATTTGCTCAAACTGTTATCTAGAAGTGAGCCTGCCCGATGGTGAGGAGATGCATCAGGGCCCCTTCAGAGCCCCTTCCATCCCTGCTTTCCTTTAATCCAAACATACAGTATCTCCCCTTCTACACAAGGGTCTCTCCGGTTTTAAGGAGCGTTTCTTTTCAACCCATTTTGCATCTCTCCAGGCACACCATTTCACAATTTGAGCTTGCAACTCTTCGAAAGTATAAACATCTCTTCATACTCATTTTTGACACCCTGCTAAAAATTGTTGTTCAAACACAGTGTTGCTCACATTAGATATTTTGACATTTTGCAGCACTTCACATACAGACACTGGGTCCAGGCAGGGTGTGTGTATTCTCTTTATTCCTTCATGATGCTCCTAGACCCCTTGGAAAGCAGGTATGCTCTAGTGAGATCAGTATAGGAGGTTACCTTGTTGCACACAGAAGCACACTCCTTGCAGCTCTTATGCACAATCATGTTGCAGCCTGAAAGAGAAGGCACATTTCAAAGCCCTGCAGCAAAGAGGGTCCCCAGTCTGCAGAAAACGATACTCTGAGGCTTCAGTTTTTTCCTCCTCCAGGTTCACTCACTAAAGTAGTCCTGAGGATGTTTTGATGTACAGACCCTGGCTAGGAAGAGGTTCATGCCTAATGTGCTAGCTCTAGGATATGGATGTGGTCCCTGCTGTCCTTCCTACCTCTCCCTTGTCAACCTCAGCTTGTTATGTAAAGAAGGTCCATCCAAATGTAGGCAAGGTTTCTTTTTCAAACAACACACTGAGACAGGATGCAAAAACAGGATCCAGAGCACTTTAAATTCAGAAGCAAAAGCCAGCAGCTACTTACAAGAACAGTGGAGACACTCCTTTCCTTGGAGGGGTTTTTCACAGACCGTACATGGGATGACTCCTAAGAAAGTCTCATTTGTAAAATTGTGCCTGTTTGGTTTGGTTTTCTCTTTGATATCTTTATATTTTGCCTTCAACCCCAACAGCAGAGTCAGGAAAAAAATTAAAAAGGCATTAGAAAAGAAGATAAAGTAATTCAATCATAAAACCAGTAAAATGTTCCCTTTTAAGAGCAAATTATTCCAAAGCATTTATTCCCTGTCCTAGAAGACTTGCAACAGCACACTATACTATTACACCCAACATTGTTGAAGCCATAAAATGATAGGAGCATTCCTTTCACTAGCAGCTACACCAGAAGCATTGTCAAGGAAGACTGGCAGAAATAGATTTATAAGCCTACAAAAAGGGGAGGGCAAAAAAAATAAAATCTAAAAAGTGTTATTGACTCATCACAAACAAATACCAATACCTACATCCCCTACGTATACACAGGTGGTGCCGCTGAAGGCACAGGAGGGCATAGTAAAGAGCCTGCAAAACTGCCAAAAGGCCAGCTGGAAAGATCCTGGATGCCAAATCTCCAAGCTGCTAATTGACATCGTTAATCTGAAATTAAGACTTCTTATAATTTAACCACATATGTCCTAATCTACCTTCCATAGTCTGTACATTTGACTGTGCAGGCTTCAAATCTCCAGCTCTTTAACACTAAGCCATGCTTACTCATGTAAGAAGTCCCATTAACTTCATATAAGGCAAATTTGACTAATTATGTCCTAATGTAGAAGTTACAGACTCAATTACTTATTGACAGTAATTCCAAGAACAGGCCCATATCTCTTAATTGTATTTAACAAAGAAATTTGTTTTCTTAAAATTCATACAGTTCAACTTTGGCTAAACCTTCAAATGAAATTAATATTAACATCAAAAAATGGCATGGGAAATACTTAATATTGTTCAGCTAAGGCTATTGTTTAAAAGAAAAGCTGTGTTTTTATATGAAGGCCATTTCAGGGTATCCTGTATATATTTAAAATTTTAAAATTAAAACTAAAAGATTCTTCCTATTTGTGGGTTTGCAATAAACAACTTATCTTTATATAAAAATTTATATTCTCATCTATAATTCATTTGATTACTTTGACATAATTATACATAATAACATCAACAAAAATCCCAAATTACCTTGCATTTATGCCGTGTGCAGGTAATTCTGTTCTTCAGGTAACTTAAAGTCTGACTCGCTTTGCATTTTTCAGACTCATTTTTTAAGGGTACAAAATATTTATTCCATTCATCCTCCTGAATCCTAAAACAGTGGAAAACAGTGGAAAAACCTCATTCCAGTGGGAACAGGCTCTTTATTAACACACAATACAACTCGGATGGTGCTTGTTTCACCTAATATTTACAATGACATGCTTTACTGTCAGTACAGCAGATGTCATGAAATAAGATTGCAATCGCTCTATAAAAAGGAGTAATACCTTCCCACGGAGTGTTTTGCATGTGTGATGTGTAACAGGCTTGCTTAGATTATAGTTGATATCAAAACCCCCCCTTCTTTTACTACTGTGGTTTGGACATCCCTACACAACAGACAGGAGCTCAGTCCTGTTTGCACATCCCACTGTGGTGCACAGCAAAACCTTGCTGCAGGATGTGTGCAGAAAGAGCCAGGATGAGCTCAGCACAGGGTTTAGGCGTGGGGTTGAAGATTCTCTGGGCAGGGAGGGCTCCCCTTAATGCCTGCTCAAATCCCAGCTGGGGGAGGTGCTGATGCCTCTTCCCCATGCAGCTCCCTAGATGGCATTCTTGCACAGACCTGCTCCCGGCACCTCTGTGACACACACCCGTACCTTTTCTTTCGAGGTTGTTCAGGAAGAATGCATGCTCGCCCTGCAAGACACATACAGCCATCAGGCACTCAGATTGCAAGGTCATCAGGTTTATTTGAAACTCATGACCTCCACCAGGCCATAAGCTTGCCTTTAGGGGCTTGCAATGTCATTTGAAAATTAGGAAACTAAAAACATACATTAGAAACAGCTTTTCCTAGGTTAAGACCACTTCCCACTAAGCTTTGTGTAGTTGACAGAATCTGCCAGAACTAAGATGGGTATCAGTGAATGCCAGTCTCTGCAAACAGCCTGTTTTCAAGAATGACAAAAAATTTTCTTTTGTTTTTCTTAACAATCCAGGCTTGAATGACTCACCCTTCATTTTGCTTTTTATGTAATTTATTGCAAAATATCTTAATAACATACTTCTAATATTTTCAATTACCTGTCTTATGCATCTTCACCTATAGTATTAAAACAATTTAAATGCCTCTGTGTAAAGAGGAATATTATTATTCCATGTACTGCACAGGATGCATAATGTATTACAAGTTTGTATCTTCTATGATTTTGTGATCCTAGAAACAGAGGACTCAAGGAGATACTTTACATAAAATGTGTAAAAAGCAAAATAAAAAATTAGCAACTAAGTTGGGTTGTTTTGGAAGAAAAAAAATCAAAACACCAAAACTAGAGGCACAAATTTCCAGTTTAGAAGCCATTCCACTTTGCAGACATTTTTAGCAAAGGTACCATTGGTAAGGTACAGAAAGTAATTACTTAAACATCTGCCTAAGTCAAAGCATCAGACTATGCTTTCTTTAAAGTTAGATACAAAGTTAAAACACTCCTCACTGAATCCGCATCTCTTCTGTCAAACGTAGACTTCAGGTTAGCAAGAGCTAGAATATGTACCAAAGAAGCAGCGAGACTAAAAGGGTGTTTCAGTTAGTTTTCAGGCACAATCTGTGCCACAGGGTGCTTCCATAAGAAATAAATGCCATGCATCAATGAAAGATGAAGACAGCCTTATGCAAAACAGCACCGTGGGGTTGGCACTGAGGTACTTAGTAAAGAGCCAGAAGGAGGAATTGACCACAGTTCACGAGCACACCTCCTACAGAGCAGGGACAAACCCTTTACTGTTACAGCCTGGCACCACTCTTTCAAATAAAGGCAGGTAGCTGTTTTAAAGCTAATCATACTGAAAAGCTTCTACCAGAAATGGATGGTGATTTCCTGCTTTTTTCCCCCCTCATACTTTGAGTGAAAAAGACCGTCCTGTTGCCATTCTGAATCATCTGCTTTGGCTTTTGTTTCATTGCAAGGTACAAGGTCAGATGCACCTCCTTCCTGCATACCTAAGCCCTGAGCGAGATGTTCAGTGCTGGCAGCTGAGCAGAGGGGATGGGACAGGTTTTCAGTGTGCAGTCTCTTGCACAGACTCAAACATAATCCCACAGCAGCCCACAGAGACACGGATGGACCAAGCTCCTAGGCTAGCCCTGTACTCAGATACAACTGCTCAAAGCAAGCATAGCTGTTCTTGCCTCAGGCAGTAATCACCACTGCCAGCTGCCAAACATTGTTCAATACTCCCATCCTTGCAAAGTGCTGCCTAGGAAACGATAAGACAGTGATGCCAAGAAAAGGCTGGAA